ACACACACACACACACACACACACACACACACACACACACACACACACACACACACACTTTTTCCCCCTGTTAATACAGTCTGGGAACACCTTTGTACAGTCTGACATTTGCAGGAGATCAAATCAGATCTGTTAAAGCTTCCTATAATTTTTCCAGTATGACACAGGATTAAAAAAAAAAAAAAACCAGCCTGTAGGCACTGTATATGTTTTTAGCATATCTGTGCTTCTAAACTATCTTTAATTAATGAAATATCCCCAAATTACTTATTAATAAGGGTCTGTGGGCTTTGTAAACAGACATTTTGCATGAATTAAAGAACAATATGATGAAGTTTTAATGAATACAAAGTCACAGTTAATGTAAAATTTATATATAGCACGCCAGAGGGGAAAGGAATTTAAAAATACTTTTAATCATAGGTTATTGGCAGCTGGATAGCTCATTTTTATACTTTCCTAACGGGTGCTTGGTATTTATGTGCTAGCATTTATCACGCCAGCATCTATACTGTCCAACTTGGTACAGTTCAAAAAGTCAAATGGAAACCAACTCATTTAAAGACTCATTTGCTAATGAGGCATTTCTGAGCCCCACAGTGGGTGTGGAGCTGCTGCCCACAGCGACTGCGTTCTTCACATTGTCACAGAGGGGCACTTTCACCCTGTGTCAATGAACAGCCAGACTTGATGAGCTCTGCAGCAGCATTCAGCTTACTGAGCTGGCTGAGATTTGTCACAGGGGGAGGAAACTGCAGTTCACATTGACTATCTGCAGCAAAACATCACCACCAACAACTCCTTGATCCTGCCCTAAACAACAGGCCATGCCCTTCCTCCCCTGTTAGCAGCATGAACACATTGCAGCTCCTTCCCATAGTGCCACCAGCACACGTGCAGCACATCTTCTCCTGTTTACTGTGACCTTCTGAATGAGCCAGCCATGCATACATAGCCAGCACCTATGTTTGCTTGTCTTGGGCTCTGCACCAGAAAGAAACAGGATAAAACTTTCAGAGAGCAAACATTTTGCTGTGGGGATAGACTTGGCTTAAAAACCCATTAAAATCATCAGCAGAAATTAAGTTACAAATGGTTCCATGACAACCAATCTAAAGAAAATTAAGACAATAGCTGAGTGAAAGTGTAAACAAATATATATATATTATATATATGTATATATATATATAAAGAATCAATTTATTTTAATTAACTCTATTACTGTTGAATGCATTCAACACAACTGTAAGGACATCCATTATTTTAATGCATTAAATACTTAACCCACAAAACTCAAATAGTGCAGGAGATGCTGACTGCCAGAGGTTCGGTGCAACTGCTGCCATTCTATTTTCCTCGTGGGAAAAGAAAACAAGGTTTTAGTGCTTCCATTTTACTGTTTTAGTATGCTCACTATGGTATTTCTCCCTTTATGAACTGGAAGGGTACAGGGCTAGGAAACATGTTAGCCTTTCATTTTCACGGTGACATTTAGTAAAAAGAAGTGTTACAAAATCATCAGCTTTTAATAAGTGAACACACTGGAATCCTTCAGCTAACCTAACGGTGGATTGCTGCCAGTAAAGAACTTCAAAACAAGGAGGCAAACGCTGCCTCCAACTACAGTGATGTTAAACTCAGAGTAATGGCAATCATTTCCATGCACAGACCCCAGAGCTACGCCAGCAATACGGCAGCGATTGCTCCTCCACCTCTGGAATCCCCTGAAGTCTATGGATGAAGAGCTTGAAACAACAGGAGGGCTCCATCACAAAACGGAGCAGCAGTTGCCTTCAGAAGTACCACCAGCTATTTGGGGCCTGGAATTATTCTGAGTCAAGTCAGATCGATTTAGTGCATTATGATTTGGCTTTATAAAAACATGCAAATGCACGCGTAGGATGCTTCTGTGCTTCACAGACAAGTAGTTACAACTGCTGCACCTTCCTTGCAGGTGGCTCTAAAACACATTGAAAAAGAAAAACGTTAAAAATCCAGTTTCCTCTTTTTAAAAACGTGAACATTTTGTGAAAGAAATATTCTATTATCAACTGTAACATCTGCTAATGGTGCTCCCATCTGATGGGCTGCTGAGGGGAGTCTAACCAGAAACAACGCATTCGGCATAGATATAAAAATCAGCACAGGCAGGTTCCTCCTTCCAGGCTGGACGTATGGCATATTGAAGCAATAAAAGGGAGCTAAGCTTCACCTGAGCCTTTCAGAATGCACTTTACAAGATATTTCTTTTTCTCTTAAAAGAACCACTGGTATTAAATAGAGCTTTTCCTTTACATACAGCATTGGTATATACAAAACAAACACAGAACACAGACAGACGCAAAAAAAAAAACCCAAACCAACAACCATGAACACTTGGCTTCAGAAATTCTGAAGCTCAGGAATATTTTGGTAGAGGTCCAAAGTCTCTGGGTTTGAGAAAGCTCCCCGCTGCTCTACTTCTTTCCCCGCAATTATTTGCTTCACGGCCACTTCCACTTTCTTCCCATTGATCGTATACTGAAAAACAAAGCCAGCAACGACAGAATTACACTTTTCATGCAGCAGCTTCATGGAAAAATTAATAAGAATGCCTACCTAAGAACCCAGCCACAGTGCAGCCTCACACCTTCCCTTTTCTGCTACATTTGATCAGTGTTTATCAGGTCAGGATGGGACGGTGAAGATTTGTACACAGAGCCCACAATGTTTCTGAACACCTGGAGATCTCATGAAAAACAATGCTCTGCATTACTGAAGCACAGCTGTGCTATTTCCACCAGTAGGCAATGGCAGCATAAAGTCAGGATTAGACAGGTTTCTATCCCCCCCATCAGAAAATACAGTTCTATAAGTAGCAGAAAAGAGGTTTCCTTTCCAAGCAAAACCTTCAAAGAAAGATAGGAGACAGCTTTGATCGTTTTACCACTGGAATATTTACCTGAAATGTAATTAAAATTCACTCCATTTTAAATTCACTCAAAGTGTGAACTAATTAATGATCTAAGCATGCTTTCCTGAGGGACAGTCCGTCATAAACACTTCACTGCCATCAACTTTATGCTGTACATCCAAGTGATTTATGCAGCTTACAAGTTGAACACTTCATGCAGAAACCAAACCACAGCCTGGAAAAATCTAACCTTCACCATTTGTCAGATGCAGGGGCTTTTATGTTCATGCTATGACAACATTGTAAAGCTAATACTATTGGAGAAGAGCAACTTGATTCAGAAATAACCCAACAGATCAGATCCAGATCGCTGTGTATTATGAAGTTGGCAGTCCTGTGCCCTGGAACAGTAGATGAGGTACCAGAGCACAAAATGATGGGTCTGAAGCCTCAAACCTATGTGCATGGGGCCTCAAGACAACACAGCCTGCATCCCCATCCTGCAATAAGGTGTCCATAGAGCTGTTGAAGAGGCTGTAGTATCAGAGAGGACTAGGTAAGAGATGAGCTTCCCAAATAAGAGTTCATACAGCAAGGAGGAGTAGGGTAGAATACTACAGCTCACAATTCCAGAAGACTGAGCATGCAGTACCTTTAGCTGTACATTTTTCCTCTCTGCCTTTCACAAGCAGAAAGATTTTTAGTTATTGCTACTGGGAAGACAGTGATAAAGCTACATTTTAAATGGCTAAACAGATGTACAAGTGAAACGGTTTGCAAAATGATTTCATAAATTTGCTCAGCGCTCTCAGCTTTCATAAGGATGTCATTTGAAACTGGAAAACAGAAACAAACCAAGCTTATGGGTAGCGTGAAAAGCTTAAGTTAAATTACCTTCCTAATATTTTCCTTTAAAAGACTTCAAGTATATATTACTGAGAAAAAGCAGCTTGTATATTTATAAGCTGAGAATGGGCATTTTTAGGTATTGTTAAAAAAAACAAAAACACACTTAGCTGAAAAGGAGATGAAATGATGTTGCTAGGCAACATAGACAAACTATTTATAAAGCTCGAATACACTTTTGAGATGCTAAAATTTCCATGCATGTGGGCTTGAAGAGCAATGACAACTGCTCCTTAATTACTATTCAAGGTGACAAAGAAAAAAAGTAGGCAGCATTTTTCATGACATACCGGAATGCCTTTGGTTTCTAGAATGAGGCTTGGAACATGCCTGGCAGAAAGTGCTACACGGATTGCATCTCGAATTCTTTTCACCAGGTCCTCGCTGAACGCATGGTCTGAAGCCATCTTCAAGAAGAGTATCACCCTTTCCTCCCCATCCTTGTTGTACTGAGGGACACAGAGGCTGTCAGAAACCTCCTCAAAGGCCTCAACTGGAAATCAAAGAAGAGTCATTTTTTAGTGCGTGTTTTGTTTTATTTTGAACACAGGATTTCTGTAATTGCAGAAGAAAGCATTACTTCCTGGGATGTACAAAGGGAAAGCAGACTTCCTGGCTAGGTCATTCTGCAAGCCTTGCCTCCAGGAGCTTTGAGATTCTAACTCCTGCTCAGCTGAAGTTTTAAGGGCCACTTGTATGTAGGCCCAGGACAACAAAAATGGAGCTGATGGCAGTTTTTACACAAAACTATTATCTTTGGTTTGTCTCCAGTTGCTGCTTAGACAGAAATCTAACACGTCTGATCACATAGGAACAAGGTGTGGCAACAGGTGCCCAAGGGAAGATTCACACCTTGGCACGCAGCTACACCGCCCTCCACAAGGCAGACGTTTGAGATACGAAGCAGTTTGCATCTTGACAGTCTCATGGAGGCTGCACTACATTCAAATTGTAAGGATTCAAACCAGTCCCTGCTGAAACTGCTATTTATACTACAGAACCCTGTTCCCTATTCTGGGGAGGCAGAACCAGATGTCAGTTGTACCAGGGTAAGCCTTCCAACACGAGAAGCCTGTTACCCAGCTAAAGCACCGCAGTGCAGAAATGGAGCATGACCCAGGGCAGCTGCCACAAACACCCACACAGCTCTTCTGCAGCTAAGGGAACTCGATCCTCCAAACCTCACACAGCACTGGGAAGACACCGTTCCCAGCAGAACACTATTTAAATTGAACAGCCTTCAGCAGTGCAACCTAGCCTCCCCATCCCTTTGCACTTTTGGCTTCACCTGCAATCCTTCTTTTCAATCAGTTACTGTAACATAAGCTCAAGTACTTATCAGGAACGATGAGATAGAACAAAATAGTGTCAAGAGCTTGGCTAAGGGAAAAAGAAAGCATAGCTTCAGAAGTACTCTCTAAATTTGATTGAAATACCTGTAAGATCTTGTTATATGAAAGCAACATCTTACAGAGAACGTCTCAAGTCACCTGCAGTGACTTGACTGCAGTCACCTGCACTATCTGCTCTAGATACTTTAGGAAGGCGACCAATTTCAAGTCTACAGGACAGACTTTTATTGTTCATGTTAATATGTACCATTTTCCATTTGAAAAAGAGCAAGTTTTATCACTCAGCCTTTCCAGACACCTCTATAGCACTCGTATCTCAGATTTATGGCAACAAGGTTGTAGTTAAAGGATGTGAAAAGTTGATTTCATACCTATATTATAGATTTCAGAACTTCCGAATCTTACTCCATTTGGATTTAATGTACCATCACTGAAAGTCACACACAAAACAAAGAGGCATTAAAATGTAATTACAGCTTGATCAAAAGAAAAAAATGATGCAGTTAACCAAGTTTCTCCACATCTCATGCAGTGAATATGCAGACAGCCACATAAGAAACAGAATTTTAAAATAACTCGATGCTGTGAAAAAGGCCTTTTGCTCATTACAACAAAATTGTACAGAGAAATCCAGCATTATCCATTCCCATTTCCCCCCCTCCTCCTCACAGTAGCCCAAATGCAGGCTAGTTCTCTCTCCTTTGCTTAGAGGTGTACAAAACAGGAAAAAGACTTCCTAGAACTTCACTGCACTGCAGTTGTGTGCCATTACTTCTCAGCAACTGAGAAACTCGTGTTTCACACACAGCAGCCTCACACCTTATGCCTGTAAGTAGACCTGTTTGTGACAGAGCCAGACAGCTCCAACAGTCACTCACCTTTATTTTGAACACTAGTATGCAAATGCAAGCATAACATTTACCCCCATTTGTGACCTCCAAATCTATCATCTCTATCAACTATCTATCATTTTTCTATCATCTCTAACAACTCAATGGCTGTCTTTCTGTAATAAGGGTAAGTTTGCCAATTTTAAGGCCTGCTTATGGAAAACACTTTCACCATCATACTGTACCTGCGCCCAAGCATGACAATTCCTCCTGTCTTGGGATTAATTTTGCAATAATCACCATGGGCCCAAACACCTGTGAGAGAATGACAATGCTTTTAGCAGATTTCTCATTCTTCCACTTACAAAATACATTTGTGTAATAACTCTGCATCTTCTATTGCACAGCAAGAATCCTACTGCATCAGATGTACCTGAAGAGCCACCCACAGCAAACGCAGCAGTACTTCAACACAGCATGGAT